GGCCTGGCCGGCGGGGCCGCCGACCCGCGCGAGCCGTGCGGCCCCGGCCTCGGTCCTGCCCGCGGGGAGGACACGGATCCGGACCCAGACCCGCAGCCCTGCCCTTGCCCGTCCTGTGCAGGGCCAGAACCTCGGCCTGGACCGCCCCCCCCGGCCGGGCCAGACCCCGATCCACGACCCGGGCGCGCCGGCCCACGAGCGGGACGCCGACCGGCCTCTCGTCCCCGTAGCCGCAGGCCCGGGCAGCCGTGCACGTGGGCCGACGCAGCCTTTCTGGGACCTCGCATATATTGTTCGTGAGCAGCGTGTGGGTAGTCCCGGAGACGCACGGCACAGGCCAGCGGGGCAGCGGCCCCGCGCTAAAATCTGTGTTTTCTTCACCTAAAATACGAATCTTACAAGGATGGGCTGCTCGATACTTCCTTTTTGTGCTTCAGGTTTTCAGTACTGGAATATTTCAAGTGTATGTTTTGAGCTGCAAGGACTCCTTTTTCCCCATCGTATTTTTAGTAACCCCCAAAATTACAGACTCTTCGAGCATGATTCGTTTTTAAATCCGCGCTCTGCACCTTAAAATTTGGGGAAAACTGGATACGTCTAATAGGACTTTGCTTTTCAGTCCGCCGATTGTTTAGGGGCTATTATAAGGTCACAGAGGGTGTTAGGTGAGCTTCATGGGGAGTTGTCAGCCTCCCTACAAAACGATTTAGCTGGGTTCTCTGGTTTTATGAAGTTATCATTTACTTTGAAAAACAAACTTGCTGCCTAGGAAATAGTAATTATTCCTCAGGGACTCCTTTCTAGATCATTGCAAATAAAGCCTTTGTCCACAAACTGAAATTTTTTAACTGCTTTTAGTTGCTGGAAATGCTGATAAGAGCTGTTACTTTTCTTAATTCCTTGACTTTTGTGCGTGTGTGCTGTCTTGTTGCGTAGATGGTCTGGAAAGTTGCACCAGCCAGTTTCTGAGTCTCTGATGGGCGTGTTTCGGAGAAGGCTGTTTATGTGTGTATACCGCAGACTGGGTAAACTCTGCGGTAGGGGCCTGTTTAATCCAACAGTTTGTTGTTTACAAACAACTTGATGTCACAACAAAGGATTTTATATCTTTATTCCGAGAGTTTTGAGTTGTTTTTTTTTTTTTTTAAGATTTTATTTATTTATTTGACAGAGAGAGACACAGCGAGAGAGGGAACACAAGCAGGGGGAGTGGGAGAGGGAGAAGCAGTCTCCCCGCGGAGCAGGGAGCCCGATGTGGGGCTCGATCCCAGGACCCTGGGATCACGACCTGAGCTGAAGGCAGACGCTTAACGACTGAGCCACCCAGGCGCCCGGGTTTTGAGGTTTTTAAGGAAAATTATCCTGTTATCAGCCAGAACCGTTTATATTGACATGCTAAACAGAATAAGTTGACCTTTTGGTGAGGGAGCAGAAATCAGACTTTTTGAGGGGTACAGTGCCACCCAAAGAAGGGCTGAGTAAGAGAGGCGGTGCAGTGGAGGCAGAGCCTCTGACCTCCGCCGCCAGCTTGTGCAGGCGGAAGAGTCTCCAGGGCCGCCAAGGCTTCCATGAGCCCTGCACTTCTTATGGGCCCAGGGATTTTTTTTTTCACAGAAGGGTTTTGACATTTTTACCGCGTGAAATAAGTAGGTAACTGGTAGGACTTTGTAGCGCCTCTCTTTTTGTAAGACATCATTCCTACGTGTTTGGTGTAGAGTGGTAACATATTATTGATGAAATAAACAGTGTAAAGACAGTTGGTACTAGCTCAGTGTAGATACATTGTTTTAAAAATTCTTTTTCTTGAAATTAAACGTTTTACAAGTTCTTTTTAAGTCAGAAAGTCAGGTTGTGTGAGTTTAGTATATGTGCTGCCAAAGCGAGCACTCAAGTTGTGTAAGTTTAAAAGCATGTGTAATTTAGAGCAGTTATGCAGATTTGTCCACTGAATTGAAAATCACTGTACAAGTTAAAAAAACACGACAATCCATGGTTGGTCTCTTATTTGAATGACAGTGATTTTAGTCTAATTCCAATTTTTGAGTGAATTTGTATTTTGTAGTTAGTGTTAAAAATTTACATACAGAGAACTTGGGAGAGTACATAAGTAATTTCGGCTGAAAGTATGATTTGTCATTTTATTAAAATAGCAAATAATGTATTAATTTAGGGGGAATAGAGAAAGATGAGGTCCATGATCCTGTGTGTTGGCTATTGTATTTTAAACAGTTTGGGTAAGATCTGTTACAAATAGTTTTTCCATGATGGTTGGTGAGCAAAACCGGGATTCTCAAGTGTGTGTGGGGGGTTGCTGAACATGCCCATGAGTGCCAGGGCATGTGGTTTTCCAGAAAACAGGTGATTTCCACAAATCCTTGATTTTCAGCCAAGTATGTGACACTGTGTGTACAGATGCATAAACTTTTTCCTCTCCAGGAGCATCTAACTCACTGGAGGTGCAGGTGTTATGGGTCCTGGGGAGTTCTCTGGGGTGGGCTCAGTGGAAGAACCCTGGGCTACCTGTGCGTGTTGGGGGGGAGGGTGCTCCTGGAAGTGAGCGGGTGGACGTGGCTTTATCGGTGTCCCTGGGCCAGTAGCCTGGTGCCAAAGAACTTAGAATTTAGGCTGGAAGGGACCTTGGGCCTGGTTGTGGAGTATGAGGTTTGCCTGGGCCTGGTGGGAGCATTTTCAGTATGGTCAGTGACAGAATGAAGAATGTCCTCTTTGAGGACAGGGTTCTTATTTGTCTAGGGACCTAGTCTGGTGCCTGAGTGGGCAATAAAGTGTTTTGGGAAGATCTGCTGGGCAGGAATGTCTGGGTGTGTTGTTGCTCTTGCTGTTGCCATGGTAGCAAACTAAGTATAATTTATAAATAAAAATAAGCAACTCTTTAACAGTTGTTCAAGTACTTTGAAATGTCAAGTCAATTTGACATATTTTTGATCAGAAAGGTCCTAGAATATCTAATAGCCAAACATAAATAGAATAGGTTGAATTTGTTACTGCCCCAAACTATTTAACATGTGAAACTACAATTGTGTTTATTTAGAAAAGTGACCCTGTTCCTATGCTAAATTAACTGCCAGTCAGTTCATGATACAGCACTACTTTTTTGTATGGCATGTTTTAATTGCAGATTAAGTTTGGTAATGTCACTTTTGAAGACTTTCTCATTAAATCAGGGATAGCATCCTCAAAGGTTGGGACTGGAGAGAGGTGAGCAGAGAGTGGCTTCTGGAGCTTTCCAGGCAAAGGCTCCAAGAAAAGAACTGAAGGAACTCACAGTGACGTGGTCGTGCTTAGAAGTGGGGATGGGGCAGAACCGGGGTTCCTAGAGAATACCAGTAACAGAAAGAGGAGAATAAGCAGAGTGCCAGGTGCGGAGATGGCCTCGAAAAGTGACTCAGATGTCACCACTGTCATGTTCCACGGATATCCATGGGCTTGGTGATCAGGACCTCTTGGAGGATGAGGAAGGAGGCTGGGTGTGGGGCTCGAGAGTGAGGGGAAGTGAGGGTGTAAGAAGTTTGTGGGGCAGGGGGCTATTGTAAGGAGGGTGGAGGTAAGAGTAGGCTTAGGAGGAGTGGAGACCCTGTGGGTCACCAGGGCTAAGTGGGCGAAGGAACCCCCGAGAGATGCAGCCGAGGCCTGGTTGGCCCACAGAGCAGACACAGATGAGGTGTAAAGAACAGGGTTCCTGGTAGGAGAAGATCCAGTGGGGCTGTCTTTGAAGACTAGAGCAGACCCGCTAGTGAGGTCTGTTGTGTTTTCTTGTTCCAGGGCTTTGGGGTTGGCTGAGATGCCTTCATTTTATGACCTAAGACTGACCAGCTTGTATACAAAGCTGAGAGCAGGGAACCAAGATGGCTGGACTCCGGGACCCAGGAGTGGGTGATGCGTAGTGGGATATACATAGCAGAGGGACAGAGGTGCTTTGCACTTTCAGTGCTCAGCGTACAAATTAATTGCTCTTTAATAACCACTATGTGCTTTTCTTTAAAAGCTATAATATGCTTTCATTATATTTTATCACTGATATTGGGAACATAGGGCAGCTATTTTTATGTAATTGTTAATTTACTAAGTTAAAAATAACCCAACAAACTGGGTTAATTTCTACTTCACCTAGTATGTAGTAATTCTTCCAGTGGTAAAACTCAGTTTATTTTATTTTTATTTTTTTTTTTAACTCAGTTTATTTTAATGTTTAATGAGTGGTTTGAGACAGTTTAGATTTAAAATAACTTGAATTCATAACACATTTTGAGAAACAAGCCTATATGACAGGACCTGTAACCTGCAGTGCTCCTATGTGTCTGACTGCATCAGGAGATGGTGAGGATGGGCTCTGGGACTAGATTTCACCCCTGCCACTTAACCTGTTTGAATTTTCATTCTCTCTTGTGTAATATGGGATAACTGTCTGATGTTGCATGACACAATTAGCTCTGTGTCTGTGTCCCTCCTCCATCAGGGGCTGCGTGTGTTTTGTCTATCACAGTGTCCTGGTGTGAAGGGGCCCATGAGGACTTAATGTGCCAGAAATGTGACACGAGGGCAGCAGTGTTCCTGAGGGCCAGCATTCTTCATCTTGCTCATAGCTCTATACACATGCACACATGCCTGCAGTAAATTGATCTAGGGCCTCTTGGAGTAGTGAGTGAAGTTTGAAGTTCCTTCAGCTGGGAGAGGTTGCCCCCTCCTTCCTAGCACCAAAGCATAAGAACAGGCGGTGGGATGTGGTCCGTGTTACCCAGCAGGCTGGGCCAGGAGAGGTCCATTGGGGGTACCCTGCCTCTTGAAACTTCTGTTCTGGTTCTGTTCCGATCCAAACTGTAAGCGTCACCATAAAACTTCCTGAATCAGGAGAAAAGGAAAAGTGCCTTTGCCTTGGGTACAAAGTCAGGGAAGGGAACGGATTGAAAGTTGTGTCCTGTTTGTGGTCTGATTTGAAGGATAACTTGTTCATTAATGCCATTGGCTAAACTTTTATTTTGGAAATTAAGGATGGCTTCTCTCCTCAGTTGAAGAACTTTGTAATTTACAATGTACTGTTTTTCTTTTTCTTTTTTTAAAGATTTTATTTATTTATTTGACAGAGAGACACAGCGAGAGAGGGAACACAAGCAGGGGGAGTGGGAGAGGGAGAAGCAGGCTTCCTGCGGGGGCTCGATCTCAGGACCCTGGGATATGACCTGAGCCGAAGGCAGAGGCTTAACGACTGAGCCACCTGGGCACCCCGTTTTTCTTTTTA